TAAATAAATAAATAAATAAATAAATAAATAAATAAATAAATAAATAAATAAATAAATAAATAAAATACAACAGGTCGTAAATTTCCTAGTAGGTTCTACATAAGACTCAGACTCTGTAGTGCCTCAGCGTAGTGTAGTAATTCATTGAACATTTTGTTTTTGTTTTATGTTCCGTTAGGAGGGCGGTGATCACACATAATCATAACAAAAAGTGACACAAAATGAGACTCAGAATGATATTTTACACATTTATAAATCTCATCTGTCATGGTTTCACGCCCAGTCACGTGATCATAGGATTATCTAATGCATGATATATTTACGTGCTTGATCGAACTTGATTGGCGAAACGTCACACTGGCTTCCATATGCATCTTGGCCATGAACTAGGTACTATTGAGACATAAGACATTCAAGTTCAAAACACTCATCCTTGAAGTTATTGTCTCACCTTTCTTCCGTCACTAATCTTCCCCTCATAACACTGACACTTGTTATTCACACTTGGGTGACATTGAATAGGAAAGCCTCGTCAACAGATATGTCCTTGTTTTACCCGACTATAAAACATCAAGCGTACCGGTCACAGTGTTTAAACATTCAGTCTGTCTAGTTGTGTAGTCAGTGGACCCCATCGAGAGGAAATCGACACGTTTAAGGTAAGTATGATAAATGATGATATAATACACAGCTATTATTCGATCCACGACTGAGTTCAACACTTTTCGCATCTAAGTTCGACAATATTTAGAATTACTTTATTTATTCTATAATCTGTCAACACACGCGCTGATACAATATTCTGATGTGAGCATGAGATTTGAACTTGTTTACTAGTTGAGTAGAGTGTTCGGTCGATCATTTCCTAATCATATATATACTTCATACGGGCCGCTCTATTTTAGTACGTAGTACTATAGCGAAATATTTTTCTCTTAATTTCATTCATGAATTTTTTGCCAGACGTCAGTGGTGAAAACATACCCAAGACAATATTGATTTTAAAAATACCTTCATTGCCATTGGTGTTTGCTGAATACCGATAGACTTCGATAAAAACAACACAACAATAAGCTTCGGCCTTCGGGAGGTGTGGTTAAATTCAAAGTTGGCTGTCACAGCAATATAAAAGCATATTCTAATGCTGGAACAGCTCGGCAAATCAGGTCGTGTCACAGGTCTCTAGTAATCCCCGCAATAATATACATTACAAATCAGAAATTATTCACAGATGACGTCAACGCCGCGAAAAAAGAGCAGATATACACTTAGCCTGAATTATTAAACTTTAAAAATAATGAAGAACACAATATGGTTGAGACACCATTATTACAACATAATGCGAACTTTGTCAACTGAGACGCGGCGCACTATACTAAATACTAACTATTCAACTATGTATTTGTCTAACCATTGTTGGTTATACATTTTATATATTATTTTTGGCTTATCTGATTATGAAACTTTTAGTTCGAGTTACTGCTTATATCAGATTCTGTGGTTATTCATCACTATCAAATGAAACACTTATAGTACGCCATTAAACTGTCAACAGTCACTGAACCGAGCCACTGCAGTTAGATGGTTTGTTTCTTCTATGATTCAACAGCATGTACCATTTCAGTCTAACAATATGAGCCCAAGAATTGGCATGCGTATCCCCACCATCACACTGTTTTGTCAGGAAACCATATCCCATAAAGGTGTTGCACTCCAGCGTTAAATCCGTAAAAAAAACCACCAAGCACACAATCACAGTACAAAATTGTGCGTGAACAACATCCTAAGAAACCGGTAGTCTGATTTGCGGTCCGTTGGTGGACCAACATATTAGCTGATCATTGCCATGCTGTCGATAGGGCAGGATTTTTGACTTTTCCCCCCACCTAACTGCAGGTGTGGCCTGCCTATCAAGTTTGAACAAAATCGGTCAGCCAAAATAAAAAAAAATCGCAGGAAAGTTAAAACCGCCAACTTTTTGGGTCAAATTTCTTGGTAACAAAGAAAGATACAAAAAAAAAACCTAACTGTAACTTTAGTAGAATGAGATATGCCCGAGATTTCTACTTTAAAATTTATAAATGGACAAACAGTTGGTGCGAAAGTAAGAATAAAATAAGTTTTTTTTGCTGCTGCTATGGCAACGGTTGGAAGGAAGGGTTCAGATTTTCTACCTAACTAGAGTGCAGGTGTGGCTTGCCTGACAAGTTTGAATTTAATCGGTATAGCCAAAAAAAAATCACAGCAGAATAAAATCTTACGTGTCAAAAGACACACACCGTCAACTCAGACTGTGACGTAGTGATTATAGGCCTGAGGGCAATTATAGCTGGAAGCGGATCGCAAATTCAACGCCAGGCGTCGCCACCACTACTCGTACAAAATCTATGAAGGCCCACGCATGACAGAGTAATGCGTAATTCAGTCATTTGCTATTGTGTTAACATTTATTCTAAGCCAAACGCTTTATCTTTTGAGCCTAGTCGCTGGTTTCAAATCTCTTCACTTAAATAACCAATAAGAATCATATTTCCGATTTGTTTTCAGATGAATCTATTAAAGATAAACTTTATTATGAACATATTTGCAGCATTAACGCTCCTTTCAGTAACCATGGCAATAGATACAGGTAATATTGTGTTGTTATAATAACATTATTGTTTAATCACAAACCTTTGTAAGATGTCGTTGTTATCGACAGTTTTATTGGATCACGCAAAAGAACGTGATCCGTGTTTTTTTTAATCAGAATGCCTGGACGATTAAAATCGATTAATCATTATATTTAGCAGACACATGTCGTAAGCAAATTTTCGTGACCATGGAGACAGTAAAATGATTATTTTTTTGCAAGCTCATAATAATCATAACCGGTTATTGTCACTGGCAAATATATCAAATCATTTCGAAGTTCTAGTAATTTGGTATGAATTTTGTCTTTTAGATTTGGCATTGCAGATTTACACAATATTCAACCCCATGCCGTTTGCCGTTGTGTTTGAGTTGGACACTGACGTGGCCATAAACTCGATGTCCATTACGGTAACCAACAACGGACCAGACGACTTGCCAGCGGCGGGCGCCGGAAACGTTAACTATGAAGTGAAAATGTATATTGCCGCAGTGGAAAACGGTTATATGGTAGACCCGGTCGAAGTGACGGGGTTTAATCTGAACGACGATGTCGCATTGCGCCGTGCAAACGGCATCGCCTCCGATGCTAATCAGCTGTACCAAATGCCAAACGTCGCCACGGCTGTCGTCAACTACCCATCGGAGAAGTGTTCCACTCACAGTCACCTGTGTGTCGCCCTGGAACATGGATCGACATACGTGGACAATAATGCCGATAACGATTATTTCTGTCTGGAGTTCATAGACGGGATGTTCAGCGAAGTCGCTGGACCCACGGCATGTGCGTCAGGTGAGACATTTATTTCGATAAAACGAGCAATGACGTCACACCACCAGTAGTTTGAGTGTGAATTCATTTCATTTTGAAGCGTTGTATGACTTTTCATTTGTTTAACCCCGTTACGTACAGGTCGATGTGAGGGGAAATACACAAAAACGAGATGCACATAAATATGAAGGGTTCGGAATTTTTGAATTCTACGTCTTGTTATTTTCAAGTCCGACCTTCAATGTGTGTGTTTATAAATGCCTGTCGAAATATCGATAAAGTAACCCCAAGACATCGCGGTTTAGCAACATTTAAAATGTTTGGGCTCTTATCTCCCCCTACGGAGACCCATTCAATCTTTGTGTAGAAACTAGACGATCAAAAACAAACGCCGACTGGTCATTTGCCATCATAATGTTCACTCACGAATATGCAAAGCATGACTCCTAAAGATCAGGCCTTGTCGATGTTTTTTTGAAGTATAGCAGGAAATACTATAGTGGAGGAGAGTGTTATCAGTAGCAGTTATAAATGATATATAGTCTTTGAGATTCAATAATAAATTCTTATTATACTGAATAATTTAACACGGTATAAATCGTAAGTTGCATCCAGTTGCATTTTTTCCAAAACAATTACGCACGCGCAAAATTGAAAATCGAGTTCACCAGATTTTCATTATTGATTTCCAGTCAATATTGAGTTTTATTGACGGCCACATGGCCGCGTTTTGATCTATCATGAAACATACTAGTAATTTTAAGCGGATTTAATTACTTCCACAAACATCACCACTCCATGAGGATCGATAATGATAATGAGGACAAAGAAAGCTATTCATAGTGCTATTTTATTTATTTTTTTCCACATAGATGTACTTATTTCAGAAATCAACATTACAAATCCAGCGTCACCAGTCTACACGTACGATGAACCTACAACCATCACATTTGATATGCAGCTACATAACGCCGGGGGCGCTGTGGTACCTGGCGGCAACGACAACCTGGGGCTGCAGGTGTTCATATCAAGCGACAATTCCTCCTCATCGGAGTTTCTACTAGACATCACCTTTTCGCTGAATATAAATCTATCGGCATCAATCGAGCCATGGGGCGATACCATTTATAGAGGATTGTCAGTCAACGTCAGCATACCTGCTGAAAACTGTGATGTGTATACATATTTATGCGTACTTTTCGTTCAAGGTAAAACAATTTCTTTAATATTTTGTTGAATATAACACGTCAACAGTCTTAGCACGAGCATATGTGTTATCTTAGCACGGGCGTTTGTGGCATACCAGATTTCCCATTTACTATAATAGTCTTTGGAGAGTAATAGTTTCTCGAAATCGTATAACTAATTCAACCAACAGGATGTATTCAACAGTCAGATTGTTACATATCAAATAGATCGCAACGTACTGTAAAACATGTTGAAAAAAGTGGCATACAATTTTAGCGAATTGTGGTAAAATGACGTAATAGCGAAATGTTGATTTAGCGATTCTCTCTTGTCATTGTTGATTTCTTTGTTTGGTGGCCATTTTGAATTGATAATAAAGTTATTAACGACATCTTGAATTAGGGATCAGTTCTCTCGCTAAATTCGCGAAAAAGACATGCTCGCGAAAAAAAACAGTAGTTATCGTTCTGTATTGGCAATGATAGAGTTGTCAGTCAGTATCAGTCAGTGTCCTGGCTATAACACGATGTTGTATCATTCGGCCACGTACAATTGTATATCTGTAGCCAGGAGAAAGGGAGTATTGTTTCTGGTTTGAAATGTTTGGCACTTAGCTTAATTGCAACTACAAGGCAGCCGGGGTTGTTTGCTCCACGAGAGTAGAGATGCTGTATTTTATAAGTCTTTGATTAAACAGGGAATATAACAATGCAGTGCTCTTTACTTTGGCTTGTCAAGAATATGGAGCGATATATAAAACATATCATCATTATTATTTTATACATTTATAAAATTGTTTTTTGGTTTACAGGGTCAGAAACAGCAACCTTCGACGATGAGACGGGGAACAACCTGATGTGTCTAACTTTTGACGAGGTCAGTGAAAACGGGATCGGAGTCATAGAATGTCCGGTGGAACCTCAGAATGAACAAAGCCCAGAAAAGCCTTTTGATCCTTGGATCATCGGCGGAATAATTACCGCGGGGATCGTCTCAGCGTTTCTGATATTGGTTTGTTCGCTGTGTCTCGCGTCGGCGTTGTTGAAGAAAAATAAAGTGCGAGACGAAAAAGAAGCGAAGGGTAAAGTTACAATTGCCGAACTCGAGGACATTTAGATCTGTTTTGATACTATGAACTAATAAACAGTCGACACGCTGTCAGAGATCGAATCTCGAATTGTTTACGCTTCATGAATGGAGGTTCGAACTGAAGTTGCGACAATAGTATAGATTTGCAGTGGCTACTAGTATTTTCAGTGAATACTGAGTATCGGATTGCTGGCGGAACTCTAACATAGAGGAAAGCCGAATTCATTTATATCAAAAAGATTTTTATAAAAAGAAACACCTTTTTGCATTACCCACAGTGCAATATAAATTACTATTACAGCAGACATCATGATAAGTCTTTTTATTTGACATAATGGATAACGTGATGATTAGACTTTACAAATTTAAAGAAAAAGCTCAGCAAATTGGAGAGTTTTTGTGCATAGTGGTCAAATCAGAACAGTCATCGCACGCGTCGTGTTCGACGAGGGTTCCATGCGACGTATACGACGCGTGTAAAATACAATGTACATTTCTTGTTTACACGAAGTTCGAGCGCGTGCTGCGTGAAGACTGGGACGTTCTGAATCTCGAAAATATACACATTCAAGACATTTAATTGTAAGAATTATCATCCTCTCAAATTCTGCCCTATCAGGAACGATTAGTGAATGCTTGTTATCCCAAATCTAGATCAATGCATCTTTCTTTTAAATCGCGCCCTCCAGTGACGAAATTCTTCTCTGACGTGAATGGTGACGGCGGCGAATGACGTTCACAGCATGTATATCTTACCCGCCGTCCATCAATGAAGACTATGCTTTGAAAGATACTATTATATTGCAGATGATGAACGACTACGTAATAAGACACTGTAATTGATTTGATAATCATTATGTTACTTTCACCTACATTCGCATTTTATGTCACAGAGGGCGCTCTGTTACTTGAGGGTGCGATTTGTGGGAATCGCGTATTGGCCGAATCGTTATTCATTCATTGCCGTTGAAATCTGACATTATACACACATTTAAGAAGCTGATTAACACGAAAATGTCGTAACCATAGCAACGGATTTTACACTAACGTTGTTCATATCAGCATATATGTGTACCGAGTTGAGAAATGATATAACTGAAAGTAGATTTTTATTTTGAAATATATTTATTTGGTCATGAATATAGTAGTTATTCAAATATATTGTTTGCCTGTTGTCAGGATTTTGTATATTAAAGAACAAAAATACAATATTTTCTGGATCAAGTTGTTATATCTTCATATGGCACTGTCAGAATAGACATAAAGACTAACAGTGGTTGGTAATTCCTCAGTTCCTGAGAGCGAGGTTATTTGTAGATATGCTGGCGATCGCCTCTGTGTTTCCGGAAGTACTATGGGGGATTACATGATGGGAGTGGAAAGTCTTTAGATCAGTAAAATAATTTTAGAAAAGTAAAAACTAGAGTGACTGTGAAATGAAGGTTGGTTTTAAATATTAAATATGGTGGAATCTGAATGAAATAATGAAAGGAAACTGAAGAGGTATGAAAGGGCAGTAAATGTAGCCAGAATGCAAGGTCAGAATCCGGGGTCAAAATACGTCACAATACATGTATATCCATCACGGCGTTTGCAAAGTGTCAACAACTATGGATGAGGTAAAAGACTTCGTTTGCAGTTTGCGTGAATGGCCGGAGAGAAAAAAATCATGCAAATTCTGTGCTTCAGTAACAGTATTTGCTACTTTTTTGTGCAATGGAAATTAATACAAGAAATGCTGCCAAAAGACATGTCCTTCTAGTAAACTAAACAACCTTGGGACGTTTATCTTGGGAAATTGAGAAGACGAAAATCCCTTGGGACAGTCGTTGTGAAACAATGGACCATGCTTCGCCAGAGGTAACAAGGTT